AAGGCAGTGAAGTTCAAGCAGGGTCATAAGATCAATGGTATTGTACTAATGCTAATTTCCTGGTTCAGGTAACTGGTAACTGTACATAGTTACGTAAAATGCTAATGCTGAGAAGACTGGAGGAGGGATAAAGGAAACTCAATACTTATAATTTTGCTGTGCATCTGAAAGCAGCTCCAAATAAAAGGATGTTTAAAGACTATGAAGAACTCAAAAGCAGAGTGTTTTTCAGCTAGATATTTCTTGCGCTTAAGGAGCCCATCCCCCGTTACGGACTGACTGATGGAAAAGTCAAATGATGAATGAACAAAGAAAGAAAATGAACTGAAAAGTTATGTGGTCTAATTTAGTGCAAACAAAACAATAAATGCTCTGATTCTAAGTTAACCTATAAACGACCACAGATTAAAGCTGGGAAAGGAGTGTTCTCCAAGGAATCCTGAGACTCTTCAGGAACTTGTAGGAAATCTGCAAACGCCAAGGAATAGTCGGGAATCTGCACAAAGATACACTTTATCTGTCTCAATCACTGCACCTATGATTCCAGGTGCTCCTAAGAAAGGAGATAAATTAATTCAGGGTGAAGAGAGAGAAACTAGAAGCCCTAAGGAGCTAGTTTATAGGGTTCCTTGGGCCTGGTGCTCCAGAAAATTCACCGAAAAACATATCCCTGTAATATGAATTGGTAGGTAAGACGATGGATTACAAAGTGATCTACCTTAGGATATTTTTTTTCCAAGCGATGAGAAAGCTGGCAAACAGCCCAGGAGCCAATAAGGTACTCAACGGCCCCCTGGGCTGCCCTCCACATCACTACTTGAGAGCTCCGGGGTAGGTGTGCACAGCAAGCCTGGAAGTGCTGCCCTAGTCACGTGTCCACAATTCGGCCACAAAGCAAACTCACGACCCTCTCTGACCATCAATAAAATACTATCGGTAGGTAGGGAGAAAAAAAGAACACAACACACAGCAAACAAACTGCAAGCTGTGATTTTTATTTAGCATAATAAAATGCACCTGCTCGTTCGAGTAGGTTTCTCTACCTAGGGCATTTAAACTCTTTGAGCTAAGCTCTTCTCCCCACACCTGCGTACTCTGAGTAGAGAATCAACCCATCCAGTACCACAGAGAAAGAAAAGAAATGAAGGCTAAGTAACTGCCCCATTAGTGATTCGGTCCAGAATTACATTACATTTATTTTTTTTTTTTTTGAGCTCACAGTTCTGTCATATTTAACGTAAACTGAAACACGTAAGAGAACAAAAGCACTACGGTGTTCTTTTTTATTTAGATCCTCGCACCTCTGAGAACAGCCCATACTAAAAACACCAGCAACAACAAGTGCTGGTGAGCACATGCAGAGAAAGAAACCCTCAGACATGACGACGTTTCATGTTCTTGCCGCTATTTTTAAGGACCCAATCCCACCAATAAACAACACTCCTGCTGCTGTTGCGTGTGAGCCACTCTGCCCCGACTTCCCCACACTTTCTCTCACTGGATGCAGAAATCAGATGTGTGTGTGTTTCAGAGCCCATTCACTTAATCATGTGACTTTGAATAAATTTTTCCAAAAAATGGCTCTAAGAAAATTGATCTTTGTCATAAAACTACATGGCAGAGCCAGGAATAAACTGAAGACTTCAAATATCAATCCGGTGCGCTTTCTGTTACTCCAGCATCTGTCAGAAGCACTTGGGCATAAGGAGAACCCAAAAATGCTCAAGATACGAGCTTTACTATATGGTTAGTGACGAGTGTGATGAAGAAAGGAAACAGCTGCAGAAACTCAGCATGAAAGGCAGGGATGAGCAACAGCCAAGACAAGAATTCCAAAGGCAGCGCAGCAGTGACGCTGGGCCTCACCGGGTTTCCGTGGCGCCCGGGAGCACGCGCTCTTCTGGGAGGGGAATGGGACCCTCTCAATTGACACAGAGAGGGCACAGAGAAGGTTGTTTCCTTTTAATGCATGATGGCTGAAGGACAAAGCGCTCTCCTCCTGCAGAACCCAAGCCTAGCTCCAGCTTGACAGAGAACATTATCTACCAGTTTGCTCCAGAGTGGAAGGGAACGGCGAGGTCCTCTCAGCTACTGCGAGCCCCAAGAACCCAGACAACTGAGCGCGGGGATCCAGAGAAGAATGGTGCTGAGCACTATCAGTCCTTTCCTTTTTTCATCCTCCGGGTGTTTTCCTTATGTTCACTTGATCCTTTCGTGTGCCTGTGGACGATTCTATTTGTATCTCTTTCAAAATTGAATTTATGTTTGGCAGAACTGCTTTTATCTATGGAGAAAGAAAAACCTTTTTCTGTGGGTAGATGCTGAAAAGAAAAACTGGAAGGAAAACTCAAAGCTGAATCTCCCCCTCCCCACCCAATATTTTAAAATCAAAGCAGTCTTGCTCTGGTGAAAACAGCTAACAGAGTGAAGAGAGACTCCTGGGGCACCGCCGTGCAATTCTGCTGTCAGCAGAAATGACATTACAGAGAGGAGGCGGCCACTGAAATGCAGGCCAGATCACCACACAACAGTAACAGACGTGTACAGATGCGCTCCAGATGCAGGAAATGTCAACACAGCCATGGGATTCACTGAGCACCTACTAAGCCAGAGCCCTCCAGAGTGAGTGACCACTACCAGCTGGTGTCTTTAAGAAAAGAAATCAATTATCAAGTCACACAAGAGACACTCTGTGTAAAGCTAACAAAATCAAATTTAAGATGACAGCCTTATAAAGCCACTCTATGGCTACTTTAAAGAAAATACAAAGGGGGAAAAAAAACTAATCAATAAGAGTTATAGTCACATATACATGAAAAAAGATAAGGAATTACCACTTCAGCACTCCAGCCCTCAGCTGACAGGGACCGGGTAGTGACACCTACCTGTACACGAGTACGTATACACAACTACACATTTCCAGAAAATACCTGACTGTAAACTTAATAAGATCGTCTGGGTCTAGCTTGAATGATCTGAGGCAACTGGTTCTGCTGAAAGAGTATAAAATGACTTTACAAATCTGAATGGGCTCTGATAAATATTGAAACATATTCATTTTAAGAAATTATATCAAAACATACTGTATAACCAGATTAAAAACATCTCACATATTAATTTGTTTCAACTTCAATTCTAAATTGCCTAAAATCATTTACCCCCACCAATGAAACAAGACCAAAAGAGGAGGGGAAAGGCAAGCAAAGCAAGATAAGAAATAATCCCAGGATCAAGTCGCTTGTCTTAATTCACAATTTCATGTTCACACTCAACCTCCCATTAACTGGCTTTGTTTACCATTCAGGTTTAAGTCAGAAATCCACCACCACAATGACATAAATGGCTTATGGGAACTTTGGAAAAAGGTTTTAAAAACTCTTAAAATTACCTAAGTCCTGTAGAAGCCAACTTTGCCCCATAATGGGGGTTGGCAAACTAAGGTTCACAAGGAAAATCTGGTCTCCACTTCTTTTTATATACTGTGCTAACTAAGAATAGTTTTAATATTTTTAGATGGCAAAAAAAAAAAAAAAGGAATCAAAAGATCTTCTACGTGTGGAAATTAAATAAAATTCAAATTTTAGAATCCATTAAGTAAGTTTTATTGGCTCTCAGTTACTTCACTTACTTATATGGTGTCTTTGGTCTCTGCACTATGGTGGATGAGCTGAACAGTGTAACAGAGAGACTATGAAAGATTATTGGATCCAAAAATCATGCCCAAAACTGTCCTATATTAAAAGTTGTTACATATTTGCCTTGAAATAAAGAGCTTTATTAAATATAGCTTTGCACAGGAGACTCCAGATGGTTTTACTGAATACCATCACAGCAATATAATAAAGAATACTTTATCTTCTTGTGGTTAACCTGAAAGTCAGCAAACCTTATGACTTTCGAAAAACCATATTCCTTAGCAAAGACAGTAGTTCTTTCAACCACTTTTCTCCCTGTGGGGAAAGAGTTATAAGAACATTACTTGTCTTACTTGTTCTACCACTTGAGAAGCCAAAAGTCTTCTACTTACATACAAAATATACCAGAATACACGGGAAATTTCCTTTCTTGAGACAGACAGAAAATACCAGGCGGTGAAAGCAAGAGCGAGCAGTCATTTTGGGCATAATAACTAAGAGAGTAAGACCAGACAAATGTTACCATCTGCCTGCTTCGGTATAAAGCCTTCCAACTATTCTTCCCTGCCCCTAAACCCTATTTGGTAAGAAACTGTTCACAGGGCCTCCCCGGTGGCGGTGGAGCAGCGGTTGAGGTTGAGTGCTGGGCTGCGAAGCTGCCCGCAACCTCTGCAGCACCCCGGGGGGTTCGATCCCCAGCTGCTGGGCGAGGGTCCCACATGGCGCGCAGGCCTCGCCTGCCACTCCTGCTGCTCCCCTCAGCAGTCTATCGTGGGTCTGCTGCTCTGCTCCCCGCTCTGGCTCTGGTGAATTCTCTCACCCTCCCGCACTTCTGACTGTACCCAGTGCTCGTATAAATAAATAAATAAATCTTCTTTTTAAAAAAAAAAAAAAAAAAAGGGAAAAGAAACTGTTCACAGATACAAGAAAACTGAAAGAGTACATCATGAAAATTCACACAGACTTTCCCGAGATTCTCAACTAATTTACATGCTGTCCCAGCTGGTTTTTTACCCGCTGCTTTGACTCTTCTAGTGGCAGTGAGTGAGCCTTTAGGAAATAAACTGCAGGTCATTGTAACACATGATCCCTCAACACCAGCATATTACATTTTTAAGGAAATAAAAGACACAAAACTATAGAAAGGATTTTTTTAAATTACAAGAGGAAAAAGTTTCTTTATCCCTACACACAGGTTAGTGAAGATACAGGCGACCTCGGAAATCCCAATATTCCACAAAATTAACATTGGTATATTGGCGTCCTGGGGCTAATGATGATTATCAAAAGCCACGAGGATGTAGCAGACTCTCCACCCTCCACCCCCGTGTGAGGCTGCACAGTACAGAAAGCCCCGGCTCTCACCTCAGGGCAGCTGCGTGGTAGGTGTCGACATAATCAGAAATGAAGAGCTCCCGGTTCTTGATGACTGGGTCTGTTATGACAAGTTCTCTTCCAGAGTCTGTTAAGAAAAAAAATTAATTAAGAGGATATTTTTCAAAGTGAGCTTCCAGAAACAACAGGAAGATTTTGAAAAACTTTCCTGTCAGCTTCACCACCCACTAATAAAAGCACAGGAAGTAACTAGGCCCAGTTAACAAAATAGATTAGTAGAGTAACAGAGCCAGGGCAGCAGAACAAGGTTGCCTGCTGGGTGTGGTCTGTGCCTATCCATCTTATTTTTTAGAGTAAACTATTCCAGGATGAAGTGAAGTACTGTTCATTGATGTGAATAACGAAATTACTACTTTCAGTAAGGCATCACTTCTTTAACAGACAATTTTATAAGTTTCAATGAAGAAAAAAAGGTACTAAGGGAAAAAAATAACATTTTTTAAGCTTTACTGATTCAAACTCTACCCCAAAGCAGTGGAAGGCTGGAAAGAACACCTGCATCACACCAGTCGCAGCTGGTCTCTGCCCCGAGGACCTATGGCCCTGGCAATCGCTGAGCCTCCCCCTCCCCACGTGGCAGCGGGCAGTGACAAACTAGATTTGTATGAGTAATGGGTAAACAAATGTGAATCACCTAGCCCAGACCGACCACTTCTCAAAAATCAATGACAATGAGCTTACTATACATCTGTACAAACATAATGTCCACCTGATGTACTTATCTTGTGTGTCAATAAAGTGACTGGGTAGAAATAACAGTGACAGAGGAGAAAAAAAAATAAAAGATGCGCTGAACTTCCTTCCTATTATTCTGGAAGTCAAGACTCAAGCTTAGTTCCAAAACAGTCCGGGAAGCTTTGCTTTGAAAACTGAAGTTTACAACCCTGAACACAGAGAGGTGTGAGAACAAAGATTACTGAAAAGGGAAAAAGAAAACATAAACTACAGGGTTTTAAGCTATTAATTTGTTAATCACTAGGTGAGAAAAAGGAATTTTAAAAGGGTAAGTTCTGTTATTTCCAAAGAAAAATGCTATTTCTACGCCAAATTTATGGGGAAGACACTCTGAGCACATGCTCAGGATTTTTGGTGTTTTTTAAAGCAAAAATAATAAAAGATCTCAACAACAAAAAATATCATTCCAATAATGTCTTTAATTAGAGAAAGGTTTTTGGAGAAAATTTTTCACAGTGGTTATCTCTATTTAATGAATGTTTTTAGAGAGAATTTTCCCCCAATGCTGGGAGAGTGTTAGAACCAACTAGGAGGCCATATTTACCATTTTCATTATGTCGATCCTGAACCAAATGCTGATACACAGAATCTGGAACTTCAGATTGGCGGTAGTACCATTTGACGTTCATGAGAAGATGGTCCCTCTTACTCTGAAAAGGAAAATCTAACAGCATTAGGAACAGGATTACAGGTGCCCACAGGTGTACACCATACCCATGATCAAAGCCCCTGGAAACAGGCGGACAGGCAGCGAGGGGACACAGGACCATAGTACAGAAGTGGATTATGAGGTCAGATTTCTTTTTTTAAACCCCAGCCACAGCACCCCCCATTACTCTGTCTCTCAAAGTTGCTTGTTCCAGGAGACTAAATTCCAATCTATAAATCCTCCCAGTTTGATTAACTTACTTATTCAATATTAGGGTTTATTCCTCATTAACTACACGGGGCTAATGAATACATCCCTCTCACCTAATCTTTAATGATTTCGGGAAACATTTATAAACTGTGTTAGCACACTGTCAAGGCCACTAAGGGCAATAATTACAAAGAACTTTCCCAGTAAGCCCTGGCACAGTCACCTCCTCTGCAAACTCTGCCTATTACCCAGACTGAGTTACATTCTCCCACTACCATCACTTTATTGGCAGTTAACAGCTATCCAGCAAACTAACAGCAAACTTGGGGGTATTGAAGGTCCCATGAACCTACAAAGCAGGGTCCCTTTTGTATTTATCTTCAAATTTCCAGATATCAGATATCAGAACATCTTATACATAAGCAGTTGTGAATAATGAAGAGTTCTAAGATGATCAGGTCCCATCAATGTTGCGGGACACAAGTGCATTATGTCCAAAGTCAACTTTGTCCATCCAGAGAAAAAGGGACTGAAGACTGCCTTGCCATTCACCGGCTTTGGGCCTACAGCTTGAGAGGGACGGCCCTGCCCCGGGTCATGAAGCGTCTCCACCCTGCAGTGCACCAAGGCCTCTCGGCCTCACGGAGGACTTCTCCCAGTCAGGGGAGGACCTTAACGTACGACTCCAAAGCTGAATGCTATATCATCACTCCTCTCAGTAGCTCTACTCTTCAACACAGGTCAACAAGTCGGAAATGAAAAAGTTAAAATTCGAGAAAAGTCATTTGCCTATAATGGCAATGGCTAAATACTACAGTATGTCAAAGAAGCTGAAGATGCTTTTTGTGTAAATGGAAAGTGTGCATATTGTCACGAAAAGGCCAGTGGGCCTCAAAAACACTTTTATTAAAATATCTAACCCGACTAAAGAACTAGAAAGAAAACAATCGTCAACAGCCTTTAACTGGCTCAAGTGTATCCCAAAAGCAAATATCATAAACACCAAGATTCTTACTTTGCAATTAACTGTGTCAAACAGGCCTACAAAAATAGGGCATCATTACTGTTTTAACAAAAGAGTTTGCATACAGAGAAAAATACTATGTAACAAGAACTTCATAGCTCTTACCCACTTTGGAATTTTATATTCTATACTCTTTATAGGAAAAAGAAGACAAATCGGTGTGATAAATAAAAAGAATGAATGTTATACATTCTTCCGTGTATAGATGGGAGGAATTCATTCCAGCAGGGGTCATCACAGAGGAAGCAACATCTGACCTAGGGGAAAAAAATTGGAAGAGAGTCTATGGATTCTCTCAAGGCAGAGGAGACCTGAGCGAGACAAAGACAGAAAGCACGAGGCATATGCAACTGCACACGGTCCATCTGACGTAGCACAGGAAAACACTCTGGGTCCCTCCAGAAGCACCTCAAGACTGGCAGCAGTTTGGCCTACCGGGGGCTTCCAAATCTGGGGCGAATGGGACCTGGTATCTCCACTGCAGACCAGGGACTCAGGAGTGAGGGACGCACACGGGGCATCGGAGAGCAGCCAGAAGGCAACAGTTTTCTTCTGAGCAGGGGAATAAAGAGCAAGACCAGACCGGAAGCACTCCTAAAGGCAGGGCACGGCCAGGCCAGGACAGATGCTGTCTGAGCAAACACGCTGCCCAGCATGGGGCATCTCAGCTTCTCCACTCCTGACACCTGGGCCCAACACATCCGGCTGGGGGACCTGTCCAGAGCACTGCCAACGTGCCAGAGGCACCCTGCCTGAATCACGACAAACTGAGAATGTCTCTAATGGGGCCAAAATCCACCCCTAGTTGAAGACCAACACTCTGAGTTTCCTCTTCAAGTGTCTCTAAGCCAGAATGGCAAGAAAAAAACCTGGTTCATGCACTGCAGTGTGGGAACATGGGCTACTAGAGAGAGTACAACAAAGTTCATCGTGGTTCAAATCCCAGCTCCACCACGTCCCAGCTACATAACTCCAGGCATGTTACCAGCAGTCTTTGCGTCTCCCCTTTTCTAAAAAGTGATAATAATTAACCTAACCAAAAAGACTGCTGACAGAATAAAACACATAGGAAAACATCTGGAGCTGAGGAGGTGCTCAAAAAGCACTGTTTTCTCTGTTAGTAGGAAACTGTATACCAGTAACACAAGATTAAGCTGAAAACCTGCTGAGAATTACAGACATTATTTCTTCACCAGAATATGATACTTAGAAGAGATAACACAAGGGGTTAAGATGTAGCACTATGAAGCTGCCAACAGCCACTGCAGCATGAGTTCAATCCCCTGCCAGCCAGGGAGGCGACCCACATGGCATAGCAGACCTCTCCTGCCTCGCCCGCTGCTCCCCTCGGCAGTGTTTTTGGTCAGTCTGCCTGTTCTGTTCCCCACTCTGTCTCTGGTGAATCCTGTCACACACCCCATCTCTAGCCTGTGCCCCAGTTCTTGTATGCATAAATACATAAATGTTAAAAAAAAAAAAAGAGAGAGAGAGAGAACAATCGCTAGTCACCGCACTCATGGATGCTACAATGTTCTCAGTAATGAATTACTTAATGGGACACACAGGAAGCCAGGCCCACCCCGGAGCCAGCAGCACTGTCTTTAGATCTATTCTGCAACACATCCAGGGATCTGAAGACCTGAAGGGCAACATGAGTACCTTTCAGTTACAGTAAGTGGCAACTGGACAATGCCCTCTTTTCAGAATCAAACCAGTGGGCCTCCCCGGTGGCGCAGCGGTTGAGCGCTGGGTTGCGAAGCTGCCCGCAGCCTCTGCAGCGCCAGTTCGATCCCTGGCTGCTCCCCGGCCACTGGAGGAGGGTCCCACATGGCGCGCAGACCTCTCCTGCCGCCCGCTGCTCCCCTCAGCAGTGTACCTCAGTCCCTCTGCCTGCTCTGCTCCCCGCTCTGGCTCTGGTGAATTCTCTCACCCTCCCGCGCTTCTGACTGTACCCGGTGCTTGTATAAATAAATAAAATAAATATTAAAGGAAAAAAAAGAGATGGCGAGCATTAATAAAAAAAAAAAAGAATCAAACCAGTGATTCTGGGGAGCTTTTAAGGACTAATATGTATTTTATCCTCTGACCCAGAAACACTTAACGAAAACACATGAACATGCGCGCGCGCACACACACACACACACACACACACACACACTCCAGTGTATCTGCACTTGAATGTATGACTCCTGACATTAGACTTTACAAAGGTTAGGTGGAAACCCACTGGATTTCAGATGCAGTATGCCCAATTACCAGGGAGTGGCAGCATTGTGCTTAAAAAAACACACATATTTATTTCCACAGAACATAAAGGCAGCCAGACTCAAAGTAAACAAAAATTATGAACAAATTTAAGTATCTGTAACGGACACACTCTTCCTAAACAGGTCTGGAACTTAAAGATTAAACATCAATAAAGGAAGCCAGGGTGTTGTTTCAGAGAGCACTAGACTAAATCAGGAAATCTAGGAACCTAGCACTATCTAGTGCGCTGGCAGTAAGTGACCTTGGTGGAGTCACCTAGACAGATAACAAGTGAAAGAGTAAAACAGGATGACTTCCATGGTCTCTTTCTACCTTATATGCTTATGTCTAGAATTTTTCCCCACATAAATCCAAGTAGATTAAATGGGGATTGGGAAAGCTTCACGTTTGTCTCTAGCAACACAACGGCATTACCTTTCATTCGCTAAATCAGCTAAGCTTCCATCCTACGGAAGTCTTACAAATTAAAACATCCTCTCTGGGAGGAGACAGCTAAGCACTGACAACAGCCAGCAGGCCAGAGAGCAGCCTCCCGCAGTCGCCTGTGCTGCTGCAATGCTAGGCATTGAAAATCTTCGTCTTCGTCCCACTATTCACTCTTCAAGGACTTTTACTAAAAAATCACAGAGAATTAAAGGTATAAAGGAGCTTAGGTATATCTGTTTCAACCCAAACCATCTGGGATGGAATCCTGACCTTCAAACTTACCTAAGTTGTAGGTCTTTAGGCAAATGACTTTGCCAAGTCTCACTTCTCAACACGAGGAAAACAGCAATAGCGCCTGCCTCATTAGGTTGTGAGAATGAAGTGGATGTAAGGAGAACGGGACAGCTTTCAGCAAATGTTAGTTATTACTATCAGTTTTACAAGTGAAAAGTCAAGCTATAAGAGGCTGCTAATAGGTTTTTGCTTTGCTCAAAATTATGTAAGTAATGGCAATACAAAATACAACACAAATTATACAGCAAATCAGAGGGAAGTAGCTTCACTTTTCCACAATCTGAGAAGCATGTTGAGTATTGCTAACAGACATAACTCGTTACTGACTGATGATAGAACTGGGAGATGGTGTAATGTTCAGAGGGGAACGACACTTTTTTTTTAACAACACATTTACTTTTTTTTTTTTTTTAAGATTTATTTATTTATGCATATAAGAGCTGGGATACAGGCCAGAGATGTGGGGGATGAGAGGATTCACCAGAGACAGAGTGGGGAGCAGAACAGGCAGAGCTACTGAAATACACTGCTGAGGGGAGCAGCGGGGAGACAGGAGAGGTCTGCTGCGCCATGTGGGTTGCTCCCTGGCCAGCCGGGGATCGAACTCATGCTGCAGAAGTTGCAGATTGCTCATAGTGCAGTGCCCAACCCCTTGCACCACCAGGGAGGCCCCTGGATGGCACATTTTGAACAGAAAGTTACCTGAAGGGGGGAGCGGTGAGGCATGCCCTATGAGGAAGCATCCTGGGGACACAGTAAGTCCTCACTTAACATTGTCA